AGCGTGGCCCGGGCAAAAGAGCGCACGGGCACCCGCAGGGCGTGGGTGGCGTCGCGGGTTGTACCTGCGCTGTGCGTAAGCCGAGCAGTGAGTCGTTGCGCGGCGCTCTGTAAAGCAGATCGGGCCCTCAGCTTCCCCTTAGGTGCTAGCTGCCGCTGAAACCCAGAATAGAAGCAGAGCTGCTTAGATGGTGTGCGGTAGAAAACGCACCTCGCAGGAGAGAGCGTGAGCAAAGTGCGTACTGCCTGCCGGGCTGTAACCTGCAAAAGTTCAAACATGTTATGAGGAGAGGGAAAAAAATGTTACTGTGCCCTTTAGTAGAATTGAAATATCAAGTATGCTGCCTATTAGGGGCTTAACAGTCATAGCATATGCCTTTTTATGTTTGCCTATAAAACATAACGATAATTTTTGTTTAACTTTTACTGTTTACCTTGATTAATCTGCAGATGATGAATTGCAAAAAGAAAGCATATGTCCTTACTGCTTCCAGTTCCTGGTTCCTGGTAACCACCGTGTGCGTCTCAAACCAAAGATGAAAGTGACTCCACAGATAGAGAAGATTCTAAAACGAGAGGCAAAGAACCATAAACTCAGTATGAAACAGACAAAGCTTTTGAAAAAGTACAGGGACTCAAGAAGCATTTTGGTAAGGATATTTACTTAGAACTGCAAAGTTTCTGATGTTTCCTTGAAACCTTTCAGTGGCATAACAAGGAGGATATGGAAGTCTGTCTCTTAAAAGCTGAGCTCACGCCTACACCTTTCTTTTTTTTTGTGAGCACACAACTCTTCCTTTCTTTTGAGATGACTTCTATTCACATTCACAGTCAACATTGTTTAAAATTTACCCTCCACAACAGAGAGCTGAAGAGCACAATGGCAAGAACAGAAATCTTTTATTTCCTTCCCGCTAAAAAACATGTCAGCAAAGTTAAACAAACAGCACTGCCCTCCCTGTGATGTCTTTCTCTTTAGCAGCATTCTGGATAGCCTCTGCAGATATCTTAAGATCTTACTTAAAATGAGATCATTTCTTCCTGTTAGGAAGCTTTAGCATTTCCACTGTCAGTGATTGTATGAGTTGTATTGTTTGCATAGCTTTGCAGAAATGGCAGAAATGTCAGAAATGTCAGATTTTTGCCTGCTCCTTTTGTCCTATTTGTATGAATGTGGTAAAACTATGCAGGCAACTCTGCTAGATGCAAAGTCTTATTGCAGTAATGTAAATCCTTACATTGCTATGAATCCCCCAAAAACATACCTAATGTGAAAAACATGCCCCAAAGTTAAGGCCTGACTGAAGTCAGTTAGGCTGTTTTTACCCATATGTATAGCTTGACATTTACTGCCTTTGTTTCAGATCTGAAAAAGTTTGAGTGACTGAAAGATTAGCATTTCTTTTTCAGTTATATCAGTGGTCTAAAAGTATACTAGCTCAACTTAACAGCTTTACTTCATTTATATCTTTAGACCGTCGTAACTGAAAGATTACTGTTGTTTACCTTGATTAATCTGCAGATGATGAATTGCAAAAAGAAAGCATATGTCCTTACTGCTTCCAGTTCCTGGTTCCTGGTAACCACCGTGTGCGTCTCAAACCAAAGATGAAAGTGACTCCACAGATAGAGAAGATTCTAAAACGAGAGGCAAAGAACCATAAACTCAGTATGAAACAGACAAAGCTTTTGAAAAAGTACAGGGACTCAAGAAGCATTTTGGTAAGGATATTTACTTAGAACTGCAAAGTTTCTGATGTTTCCTTGAAACCTTTCAGTGGCATAACAAGGAGGATATGGAAGTCTGTCTCTTAAAAGCGGAGCTCACGCCTACACCTTTCTTTTTTTTTGTGAGCACACAACTCTTCCTTTCTTTTGAGATGACTTCTATTCACATTCACAGTCAACATTGTTTAAAATTTACCCTCCACAACAGAGAGCTGAAGAGCACAATGGCAAGAACAGAAATCTTTTATTTCCTTCCCGCTAAAAAACATGTCAGCAAAGTTAAACAAACAGCACTGCCCTCCCTGTGATGTCTTTCTCTTTAGCAGCATTCTGGATAGCCTCTGCAGATATCTTAAGATCTTACTTAAAATGAGATCATTTCTTCCTGTTAGGAAGCTTTAGCATTTCCACTGTCAGTGATTGTATGAGTTGTATTGTTTGCATAGCTTTGCAGAAATGGCAGAAATGTCAGAAATGTCAGATTTTTGCCTGCTCCTTTTGTCCTATTTGTATGAATGTGGTAAAACTATGCAGGCAACTCTGCTAGATGCAAAGTCTTATTGCAGTAATGTAAATCCTTACATTGCTATGAATCCCCCAAAAACATACCTAATGTGAAAAACATGCCCCAAAGTTAAGGCCTGACTGAAGTCAGTTAGGCTGTTTTTACCCATATGTATAGCTTGACATTTACTGCCTTTGTTTCAGATCTGAAAAAGTTTGAGTGACTGAAAGATTAGCATTTCTTTTTCAGTTATATCAGTGGTCTAAAAGTATACTAGCTCAACTTAACAGCTTTACTTCATTTATATCTTTAGACCGTCGTAACTGAAAGATTACTGTTACCTTGTGCATAAGCTCTTTTTTTTTTTTTTTTAATTTAGCTGAATATTAGTGTTTATAGAAAGTCTTTCAAAAATGAACAATGCGTGTCATTAAAACAGAGTTAAGGTTCCTTTGGGGGCTTTAGTTCTTTTTCCTGAAATTATTCAAGAATATAAGATTTAATGTTTTGAAGAATAAAAGCATATATTTAACTTATAGGTGTAGGGCATACCCTACTATTAAAGCAGGACATGCAAACAGATGTCTTAATAAATGAGACAGCACCCTACTGTGCCCCACAGTTGCTGGCATAGTTGTTATGTTCTCAGATAAGAACCTGCTGATTTGTCGAGTAAAATTTGCAAAATTAAAAATGATTAGAGAGCCAATAAGACAACATGAAACTCAGGAAATACTGTAGATGTCATCAGCTGTCAGGATTTAAGAAAAAAAAAAGCAGTCCAATAAGGCTCCTTTGGGACTACTCTCTCTTCCTAACTGTAGATCATTGTAGCGCAGCAGCAAAAAAACAGCAAGTGAAAGGGCTTCTGAGAAGCTGGGAGCTTTGCTTTGAGTTGTTTTCTGCTGTAGAATCACAAACTTTTAGAGTACACTTGAACCATCTCTTTAGACAGCAGATGAGCAGTGTCTTACAGAATTATGAAGGGTTCTTAGATTTATTCTATAGTTGGAGAGATTCCTCAAATGCATTCATGAGTAGTTTGCAGTTCAGTTTAAACTGCACTTGTATTGTGTTCAATTCTGTTTGCGTTTGTGCTGTGGATTATGATTTAAGTATTTTTGGTATTACGTATTTAAAATACTATCAGGAACTAACAGCTTCCAAAATGAGCAGTGTAAATAAACTGTAACCTAATACCTAAGACTTCCATCATCTTGGAAAGGTCCTGGAGATCAGGAGAGGTGCCTGAGGACTGGAAGAAAGCCAGCTTCACTCCAGTCTTCCAAAAGGGCAAGAAGGAGGAGCCAGGAAACCACAGGCCTGTCAGCCTCCCCTCCATCCTGGGAAAGGTGATGGAACAGCTCCTCCTGGAGGTCATCACTAAGCATGGGGAGGACAAGAAGGTGATCAGGAGTAGTCCGCATGGAGTCACCAAAGGGAAATCATGCTTGACCAACCTGATAGCCTTCTCTGATGGAATGACTGGCTGGGTAGATGAGGGCAAAGCAGTGGATGTTGTCTCCCTGCACTTCAGCAAGGCTTTGGACACTCTCTCCCATCACATCCTCACAGGTAAGCTCAGGAAGTGTGGGCTAGATGAGCGGACGGTGAGGTGGATTGAGAACTGGCAGGATGGCCGAGCTCAGAGGGTTGTGGTGAATGGCGCAGAGTCAAGTTGGAGGCCTGTGGCTAGTGGTGTCCCCCAGGGGTCAGTCCTGGGTCCAGTCTTGTTCAATGTATTCATCAATGACCTGGAGGAAGGGACAGAGTGCACCCTCAGCAAGTGTGCTGATGATACT